AAAAACTCACTGTTCTTTGTTCTCTTATCCTCCAGGACCTGCCAACCTGGTGGGACAATCCCTTGGAAGAACCTCAATGGCAGTGAGACTGACCCTCCTGGGCTAATATCAAGTAGAGGGGAAATCAGCCATTCATGGACCACAGAGTCCTCTTCTGCTCTACACAGAGCACTCTGTCTCCTGCACACGCTATTAGTGGGGAAAGCAGAGATGTGGATGGTTGTGGTGAGTGGGATGGCGCTGACGATCCGTTCTGGTGCCCACATTTCTAAAGGGATTTTGAAAAAAAAAAAAAAATGTAGGATGTACAGAAGAATGACAAATGTGATTTGGAGGCTGGAGAAAACACTTGCCAGAGACAGAATGAAAGAGTTCAGTCTGTTATCTCACCAAAAAGGGAGCCTGAGAGGTGATTTGATTGTAAGCACTTCACAGAGAGAAAATACTTGGTGTGAAAGAGCTCTTTAACTCTGTGAAGAAAAGAGGCTGGAGCTTGTAGTCAAGCAAGTGCAAACAGGAAACACGGCACTGGGCCACGCTACCAGGGAAGTGCCATCTGCTCTGCCTCCTAGCATCCTCCATCCTGTCATGGAAAATACATCAGCTGAGAGATACCGAGTTCATTACAGCCTAAAGAAGATAATGGCATTTCTCACTCGGAGTCACACAGGGCCCCTGGATAACTGAACAGTTCTTCAGGCCTTAAAATCTATGAAGCTGGCAGCACGAGGTACTGCAGCACTGTGTGAAGAGGCACTCCACCATCTGCAGGGAGCTCTGTGAGCCACTGGTCTCACCTGCCACCTGGGGATGGACCCAGCATCAACGCCTACCTCTGCCCAAACCCACAACGGACAGCACTACTACTAGGATGGCTACTGGGATGGCCAGGGTCACCCCTGGGGGGAGCAAGGCTTCCTTTCTGAGGCTGGTGCAAGGACAGGTAACAAGAATATCCCTCCATGCCCTCCCCCCACACATGCTCCTTTCTCATCACACTGTTCCTATCACCCACACCAAAGCCCATCAGATGCAGTGCAGAACTGCCTCCCCTCCCTGAGCCAACAGCAGGGGAGTGCAGCTGTGGGCTCTGATAAGAGTGTTAACAGGAAGGGCGAGGCTGCCGAACATCAAAGAATGCAGATGTAGGGAAGAATGAGAGCTTCTAGGGGAATCCTGCAGGCTGCACCCTGCACAGGTAGGCGGTCAGATGCTGAGGAGCACTGGCAGATTGAGGACAGATGCCTGCAGGGAAACTGGGGAGGATGTTAGCGGTGCACTTGTGTCAAGGAAGCCAAAGACCTGTCCCAGGCAAAAGCTGTGCTGGGTTTGCAGTTTTCTCTCGCAAGAAACAACTTTGGAGGACAGTGCTGGGCAGAAGGAGCATCCATCTCCATACAACATGCAGAGGACAAGAAAAAGTTGAGGATCTGCATGCTTTTGAGAACTGGGAGTAGACCCTGCCTGCAGAGCTTAATAGCAAGGCCAACCTGCACCTGTCCCAGAATCTGGACAACTGTCAGCCATGCCAGCACAGTGACAGCAGCATACCATGTGTCTTGCCCAGCCCTCCTCTTTCAGGCCTGACTCCAATGTCACTGTCCCTGTCTTAACAGTTTTGCAAGTCAAGTCCTCCAAAACCACATAGTTTTTAAACTCACACTAGCAAAGGGAATATCCCTGTGGTATCTGTGCCACAACAGCAGCCTGAAATACCTATCAGGGCAGCCTAGGGCTCTGTCCAAGTGCCTCTAGGATTACCCCTGGCTCTCCAGTTCCTCTTATGAACTGGGCATCTCGGGAAACAAGACATTAAACATGAGCCAGCAGCATGCACTGGCATCTTCATTGCTAGCTACACAGCAGGCGATAGGTCAGGGGAAGTGATGATCCATCTGTACCCACATTTTATAAACCCCATGAAGAATACTGCATCTAACTTCCCCCCAGTACAGGAAAAGACTCAGACAAATTGAAGTGAGTTCAGTAGAGAACCAGCAAGGTATTCAGGGATTGGAATATCTGCTCTGGAAGGAAAAGCACAGGGAGCCAGGTTTGTTCAGCCTGGGGAAGAGATGGCTTTGGGGGTCCTCAATGCAATCAGTACCCACACAGAGGCTACCTGAGAAAACAGAACCAGGCTCTTGGCAGTGGTGCCTGGTGAGAGTCCAAGAAGTTTCTGCTTGGCTTGGGCTGATCCAGCTCATCTCACAGATGGAGAATGCAAGGCTGCAATACCCAGCACCAACTCCAACACCTCCACAGATTGTTCCACCGAAAACTTTCAACATTTGAAAACAAAGGAGCAGCTCTGCACCAACTTCCACACTGATCACATCCACCAGGCAGGTGGGTCTGCCTCACACAGGAGATGCTGAAACATGACATGAGAAGAATTACTAGGCTGAGATCAGGAGAATGGCTCTTGGCACATACATGAGGATGCCACCAATTAGTGCAATTACAGGCCTTGGCTACATCTTCCTGCTTGTGATTTTCATTAACAGTCGCACGGTCAATTCTGCTACTTTTCACTGGGCAAGTTGCCACAAGGCAGCAGCAGCTCTGCTCCCAACAGGGTCCTGAGCAGGGCAGGCACTCAGAAACCCCTCCCTGCTCCTGCCAGAAAGAAGACCACCTGGGAGAGGGAAACAAAAGCCATCACCACTTTCTTAACTCCCAGACAGCCCTGTTTTGGCTACATCACCTTTCCTAATGCAAAGCAAGACAAACAATTCTGCCCATGAGGCCATTCCCAACCTACCTCTCAGGTAAGCGTGACTGCATGAAGAGGTGTCATTTCCATGCACGGGGTGCAGGCTAGGAGCAAAGGTTCTTCACCACCCTTGGAGTGCAGAGACTTAAGGCTGTGAACATCAAAACTTCAACACCACAGCGCTGAAAGGGAGAGCCTTGGTGCTGAAGCAGGGGCAAGAATTTGCCATGGCAAAAATCACAAATGCATGTGAGCCCTGACAGTAAGCTTGCTGATGAGACCTTGTTTTCTGGGCAGAAAACTGGAGAGTGCAGAGGGGTTTGCAGGGATGATTCCTCCTTGCCCTCGGGGTGTTTGCTGCATTGAAATACCAGCAGGAAGGCAAGCAGCTGTTGCTCAAGTAAAGAGACCTCCTGGGGGGAGGCAGGGAGCAAAAGTCAGCGTCCATGTAAACACCTGGCCTTACGGGCAAGGACAGAGCTTGTGGAAGGAGTGCAGCACCTCTGAAATTCATTCAGCTTCGCTTCCATTTGTTAATTAGTTCAAACATCATCGATGTTCAATCACAGCCCTCTATTTCCTGTGCCTGGCTGTGTGTCAGTGTGTGCAGACCTGCACAGACCTCCCCAGCAGGAACACGTGTGCACGTTCTCCCCACCGAAGGTGCTGGCATACCCACGCTGCCACACACACAGCTCTCCTCAGCACTGCAGTGCTCACGTGTCCAACCTTCACATTCTCCCATCGGGAAAGAGAGGCGAACCAAACTGTGCCACACAGTGACATCCCATCCTCTCAAGCAGCTCCTGACTCAGGGCTGGTGAGAGAAGGGTCTGCACGACCACCTCACTCCTCTTGCTGCATCTACCCAGCAACAGCTTCAGTGACAACAGGAGACCCTGACAATCTCTGTTCCAAAAGGTATTAGCAGCACATATAAATGTCAGTGGTCTTTTGTCACCAAGTTGTATCTAGGTCAGAAATGCAAAATGTTGGACACCAGGCTGCAGGGCATCAACCCCTTCACCTTAAAGAAGAAACTCTGGAAGCAACAGACTACAGAGCCCTACAGCTCCCAAGAACCTGCACAGGCACAATTAAATTTTATCTTTCAGCACCATATGGGATGCAGATCTTCGTGAACAAAGTCACCTTACCTCAGATTTGCAGGGACCTGAAATCCCAGCCCAAGAGCTATGCAATAAAAAGAAGCCAAGAGTAGAAAGTTCCAAGGAAAGTGAAAAGTGAAAGGCAAACAGCAGCTGCAACACTGCTAGCAGCCCACGTGCAGAAAGCATCACTGCCCCCAGCATGTAAAAACAGCATTCAGTGCTTCACAAAAGATGATGGTGCTTACACCTCTTGGTAGGGCAAACAGGTGAACCACAGTGGAAGCATCAGGAGCCCTTACTATTGGAAAATCCAGCCAGTGACAGAACAAACCATTCCCACTCCAGGACGTGCCCCACTTGGCACACAGGATCCCCTAGGGTGCTGCTGGGCCACCAGCACTGCTTCAGGAGCTTTACATGAGGTAGCTGCTCCACCTGCTGTCTGCTCTAAAGCAAGACACCAGGGTCCTTTGGAACACGATGAAAAATGATCAGCATTAACAAAAGTTTTCCTCAGAACAGCTTTTTTTTTCTTTTTTTTTTTTTTTTCCCCAGATATGCTCCTGATTCAAGACAACAAGAAAGGCTTCCTGTCTCAAAGCTACCGAGGAGCAACCAGTCAAGATGCTTCAGGTTCTCAGAATATGAGAAATTCACTTAAATGCTCAGCTCCTCTCAAGAGAAAGCCCTTGGAAGTGTCTCAAAGTCATTCCCACCTCAAAACTTGACAAGCTCACACAGCAAACAGAACTGCCAGAGAGGTGAAAATTCTGCCAGGCAAAGAAAATAAAGAGCTGCTGCCCAACCCCAGCTCAGGCTCAGCATAAAGGAAGTAGATACGCCTTAAATTCTGCACTATTCCACTTCCCCAGACAAAATTTCAGCTCTCACTGACCCAAACCAATGGGGCAGAGATAAGGTTCCAACAGTGAAACAAAATACAACGTGTTCTTAGGATATAGGGTCTTGCTGGCACATCAAGGTAGACAAATCCTCCTCAGCTGGCAGGTAGGACCCCTAATCCTAGAGGTCAAGCAACCCGCTGATGAGCAAGTATTTGTCCAAATCAATTGGGCATGCAGTAGAAAGGACACTGCGGGTCTAAGAGAAAGTTCAAAAGAGAAATGATCTCTGCTTGCTGAAGCACAGCTACATAATATACAGACAGTAGGGAATCAGAAAACTAGTTTATTGAAAATAAAAACCGAACCACCAAAACCAACCAACCAAACATAAAAAATACTCACATACTTTCTGAAAAGCTTACTGCTCAAGTAGATGCACCCTCTCCCCCCTTGGCTGTAGGGCCAGCAGGACTCCCTGCACCCTCGTTCTTTCTCTGCCCAACATAATTTGGCTGAATTTAATTGGTCCCAAATACCAGCAGACAGGGAAGTACTCCTCTCTTACATACACACATGAAGGTCACCAGGCACAAAGGCCTTTTCTCTCTGGGACAAGTCTTGGGAATTACATGCAATTATCTGCTCCCACAAAGACAGGAGCTCCCATTTGCCAGAACCACAAAACAAGCACAGGAAGATGCACCTACCTTCCTCTTTGCAGCTAAAGCCTAAACACCACTAAAACCATCCTGGAACCACTCAGCCTGCAGTCCAGACATGTCCATACTCGATCCGCAGCTCATGGTCTACAATCTCAATATAAAGCCTTCAGAATTCCCTAGAAAGTTTTCTATAGCATTTCCCAGTCTCACCATTTCGTCTGCTGAATTGGGATTCGTCTTCCAAGTTTGCTCTCCAGCAAAGGGTATTCCTTGTTTTCTGTGCAGCATCTATGGATTCATGCTGCAGTACAACAGCAGGACTCTCTCTGGACCCTTGTTCCCCTTAGCAAAGTCAAAGACAGAGAATCTTGGACCTTCTTCCTAGGCAGTTGTCAGGCAGACCTGGTAAGTACAGAGCAGGGGACTCTGCTTCACGTTCATTCTGTGTTATTGTAGGGTTCCAACATCTTCCTCCTCCCCATGTTCAGCGTGGTGCAGCAGCAGCTCCAGGTCAGGCTCAGAGTATGTCTCTTTGTGTAGATTCAGTGTTTTCTCACCTGCGTGCAGACAGCTCATTTACTACAAGCCAACTCAACCCTGCTGCTGGCAAGCAGCTGGAATCAGGTGCAGCTCCTGGTGAAACTGCAAGAACGCCTACAGAGAAACACAAAGGTATTTAAAACAGAATCACCTCTGGAATTTACGGCTTTGAGAATGACATGAAGGGAGATTCCTGACAGACAGACAGCAAAGCCAAGCCAGTTCAAGAGACTGAGGCGGTCTCCCAGCAAGTGTGTGGCAAGGAATAAAACACAGATTTCCTGTGAAAAGAAAAAACACGACAAGTGGCAGCACAGGACCTGATGTGATGTGAGTAAGTTATTTTGCAGCTCAAGCCTAAATCAAGACGTCAGGCTGCTGATTTCCACCAAGTGTTCTTCCATGTGTAGAAAGGTCTAAAAACAGATTCCAGAATCAGAACAACCCATCAAACTGGGACTGGGGATTTTACATCCCCTGACTGAACCACTCATCTAATCTGGAAGTTACAGGATTACTACATAGTTGAGTTTCACATATCACCAACTAGCTCAGAAGTACGTGCACTGTACTCGTCAAGGAAGAACAGAACATGCCAAGCCAGGTTGAGTTACCTCTAACCAGAAATTTATTCTTATCCAGGTCTGATGCAAGAAAGCGTTCTACTTAACTCTCCTCCCTCCCACACCATCATCACTCATGAGGCCCACATGTTCTAGTTTCTCCCAGATCCCACCAAACTTTGGACCTTAACAGTATTTAATTCCTCTGTCATTTGTTGTCAGAGCAGCAGGGACCACGAGCCCTCACTGCAGAGCCAGCAAATCAAAGCATCAAGCTCCTGTGGCAGGAGAATAAAAATCATAGGAGATGACTTCTGAAGCTGTAAGGAAGTTCCCACCACATTAGGCTCATTAGGGGTGACGCAGTACTTGCCCTTTAGTATTAGAACAGGAACCATGCCTTACCTTAAAAATACCAGCAATAGAAAGGGTGAGGCTAGATGTTCTGGAAACCAAGAGGAACTCAGAAAAGCCTAGACCAAAGGCAAGAATTCCACCCAACAACAGCTTTCCTACCATACAGAACGTCACTCCTGCTTCATGGAAATGGAAAAGCCTCTCTGATATGGACAAAGGTAGGCCTAGGAACAAGAAAGTGAGTAGCAGAGAACCCTTCCCAAACCCCAGGACCTCCCCACAAGACTCAGTTAAGCTGCTCACATTCCAGTATTCCCCTTATTTCCACAAGTGTGGCAAGCTACAATTCTTATGTGTTCTGTGATATTCAGTTATATCTTGGTCCTCGTAACTGCAGGACTGCTTTGTGAAGTTCACAGACAGCACTTCTCTACATGAATATCTTGAATCAGCTAAGCAAACTCCCAACCGCTCTATTAAGCTACCCCTGCTTTTCTTAATTAACTCACGCACCCTCAAACACTGCAAACAGAGGGAAGAGCACCAGGAACATGAGTGGCTGCAGGTGAAACATGATATCAATGGGGTTCTGGAGCCCTGCAAGAAGAGAATCAATAATGGATCAGGTAACAACAAGCTAATAAGTTCCTCGAGCTATTAGCACTACGTGTAGATGTAAATCTTTGCAATGCCCAGGCTGATGCTGCTGCAGAGGCCAAACTATCCTTATTACCCACCAACAGATGATCCCCATCCCAGGTTTCAAACGCTGTCCCTCACACAAGAGGTTTTGTTTCTGCAGTAAGTTACAACCTCCTTATTCCCCACCCTTCGCCAGCACCACCTCCCAGTCCCTGCTCTTTACATACCCAGTTCAGCCTTCTGCATGAGGATCTGTGTGAGAGTCCAGCGAACGCCTCCAAGGAAAGAGGCACAGAGCACCAGCATGAACCCCTGCGTGTTGAACTGCGTGGACTTGTAGGTGAACATGAAGAGCCCCCCAGCAATGAGCACAACCACCAGCACCAATGCCACCCTCTGGGTGAGAGCAAACACAAAATCACTACAAAGCCTCCTAGGGCTGAACAGGTAGTTAACTCTTTCAGTCATCCACATAATAGCATTCTAGCATTCCTCCACTGATTACATTTCTTATGTGTGTATTTCATGCCTCCCTGTGCCTGAGTTTCAGCCTCCTCAAAGCACTGCACTGACCCCTTACCATTTCCTCCAGCTTGAAGAGCAGTGAAAACAGCAGGATGAAGAGAATGGCAGAGGATTTGGTCATCGTGTAGCTGTAAGGACCAAAATACATTATCATAATCTTCCAATGCTGTCCTTCCCAGCGAACTACTATTGAGAAGGAGATCAGTGTCATGCAGCTGCCAGGCAGCCCAACACAGCCTCTGCATCCCAACCCCACCGGGCCACATGCAGCTCCAGATGCTGACCCCAATGCAGAACTTTCCAAATCCCACCAGAGGACTCCCAGGGAAGATAAAATTTGTACTCACAGGGAGACAGTGACATACAGGAAGCTCCAGTTACTCAGCCCAATATCCAAGGAAGTTGACAAAGCTGAAGAATCAAAGAAAACGTCCCGAAGTTAACTGTCTTCCACCCCACAAAAGAAATCTCTGCTAACTGACCACAAACAGAGCAGAGCCAGAAAAAAAAAAAAAAAAAAGGTTCTTTTCTCACTAACTTTTAAATACCAGCACACCTGGATATGCTCAGCTTTGTTTCTATCCTGTTCCCTGTGACTCAAGTTGGAGCCAAAGACCAAGTTCCAACCAGAGAAAGTTGCTAATGTAACAGAAACACGGGGCTCAGAAGAAGACTGGGAGGAGCAGCTTGTTTACCAGAGGGCCATGCAGCCATCCAGAGGATCTTGACAGGCTGGGGAGGTTTGCTGACAAAAACCTCGTGAAGTTTAGCAAGGATGAGGGCAGGGAGCTGCACATGGGAAGGAACAACTCCAGGCAAAGTACGTACAGCAAAAGGCTGAGATTTTCAGGGAAGGTCATAGAACAGCTATTCTTAAAAAGCATTTCCAGGCACGTGAAGGAGAAGAAAGTGATGAGTAGCAGTCAGCAGGGATTCAGCAAAGGGAAATCCTGCTTGTCCAATCTGATAAGCTTCCATAATGAAATCACTGTCCTGATGGATGCAAGGGGAGCAGTGGATACTGTATTCCTAGACTTCTGACTCCCAGAAAACACTCTTAATTACGGGCTGGATGGACAGTCAGCTGTATCAAAATCTGACTGAACAGCACAGCCCAAAGGGCAGCAGTAAGTGGTACAGCGTGGCTGGGGGGCAGTAATGAACAGGATACCCCAGGTGTCAATACTGACAGGGCTGGATGCAGTAACTTCATTAAAGATTTGGATGGTGGGGCAAAGTGCACCCTCAGTAAATCCACGTGAACCCAGGGGAGCTGCTGGTCACCAGAGGGCCAGGCAGTCACCCAGAGGGATCCTGACAGGCCAGAGAGCTTTGCTCACAAAAACCTGACACAGTTCAGGATAGGGGCAGGTAATCACACTTGGGAAGGCACAACCCCAGGCAGTGATGCTGGGCTGCCCAGGTGGAGGGCGGCTTTCCAGAAGAGGACCTTAGAGACCCAGCGTGCCCCCCTCGCTGCTAAGGATCCATCCCTGGGCCACGTGTCACCAGCAGGTCAACAGAAGTGATCCTCGCCCTCTACTCAGCACCGGCGGGCCGCAGCCCGACACCGGACCCCGGGTACAAGGGAAACACACGGCAGGAGCACAGCGCAGACCCGCACACGGATCCACGGGGAGAGGCCAGGGCTGGGTCTGCCCGGCGGAGGCTCGGGGAGGCGCCATCGACGTCTAAGCACCTCCCCGGCCGGGGAGCCGCCGTCAGCCCGCACGCGACGCAACCACGGCCGAAGCCGCGGGCAGCCCGCGCCGCCCCATCCCCGCCCGTACCTGCGGGCGCGGCCCGGCGGAGCCACTCGGCCCAGGACAGCGTCGGCGGCGGCCGCCCGGAGCGGCAGCGCAACGCGGCGCGGCACAGCGCCGACAGCGCGAAGATGAGCAGGAGGTGCAGCAGCGTGGCGAGCAGCGGGAACGGGAAGCTCTGCGGGAGCGACAGCCGCCGTCACCGCCGCCGCCCGCCCGCCCGCCGCCCCTCCGCCCGCCGCCCCGCACCTTCATCAGCCACTTGTTGTAGAAGGTGATGCCGATGGAGAAGCCGTAGTAGAGCAGCACCAGCGCCGCCACCAGCGCCGCCCGGCCCAGCGCCGCCGCGCCCGTCCCCATGCGCCCGCCCGGGGCCCCGCGGAGCGCCGCGAGGAGCAGCGCCGGGCCGAGCCGGTGACGACGCGGCGGAAGGCGGGGCCTGAGGCGGGCGGAAGGAAGGAGGCCCGGGAGCCGCTGCCGTGCTATTGGTTATTATTGGAACTCGTACAAAAGTCGCACGGCGGCCAAACGGCGGCGTCGGACCGCGCCGCCCCGGGACGGCCGCGCACCGGGAGCTTCCAGCGGGCCGGACCGCCGCCGCCGTCAGCCGTAGTGGTACACGAAGTCGTAGCTGCTCGGCTCCTTGGGGATGGGCGGCGGCGCCTCGGGGATCTGGATGTTCTCCAAGTCCAGCAGCCGCAGCTTCATCTCCATGCTCAGCAGCGTGTCCAGGTCGCTCCTTGTCAGCTCGCTGGACATGTCCTTCCCCAAGAGAGCGTTGAGCCCATCGATCCAGATACAGTACTGCGGAGAAGAGGGCAGTTGACAACTCCAGGCATCAGTGATTCCCCTACACAGCTCTAAAATAGGTAACTGGGGGGCAAACAACTGCAAAACCCAACAGAAAAACAACAGACCAGAGCGCAGAGATTCTCAACTAAGTCAGAAACCCAGAGGTGGTAAGCATCGCTCCCCGTGGAGCCTTGGGCTCACTAGAGCTTCTACTGGGGCCTAACAGCACAAAAAGCAAACAGTAAGGAAGGAACAAGTGACTAAATGGGACAAAACAAAGAATGCCTTTTCAATGAGACTCAACTGATCATGCTTAGTCTCTTGCAACAGACTTGTTTTATATTCTGTCCCTTCAGTCTACAGGGAAGTGGTCATGGCCACACACCTGCCAGAGTTCAACAAGTCTGGACAACACTCGGGCAAAGGGTCTGAATTGTGCTTTTTTCTGTGTGGAGCCAGCAGTTCGATTGGAGGAGCCTTGTGGGTCCCTTTCAACTCAAGATTTCATGATTCTATTGTTAATTGCTGTTCTTACCTCATATTTATTAGGTGCGATGAAGTTCAAGGTCTCATCTGGGTCATATAGAATCGAGAAGGCCAATTCTAACACTTCCTGAATAGAAAAGAATCTCTCACTCATTGATGGAACAAAACATCACATCGCTTTTAGAATGCTAACACAAGAACAGCAGTCTTGCTGCAGCTCAGAACACCTTCCTATAGCAGCATTAGTGGCCTACAGAACAACTGACATAAAAGCTCACAGCACAGTGCAATCATATGGAAAAAGTCCAGATAATTGTTTTGGTTTTTGTTTTGAAGCAGGGCAATGAAAAGTTGCCAATTTAGAAGACCAACTGCTCTTCATGTTTGCTTCTGGCCTTCATATCTGCATAGCTTTAGGTATTATTTACAGGCAAAAAACAGAGCAGTTACCTTGTTCTGTTTCAGTGCACTTTTCTCCTTCATGTGTGGACAATCCTTCCCTGTGACAATGGCTTTGATATCTGCAACTGGAACTAACAGTGGAAAAGTAAACCTCACACAAAGGAAATACTTATTAGGAAGAGACAGCACTTTGTTTTGTCTTTGCAACTGAGCATTTTTCCTGTTTTTTTAACTCATTACTGCAGTTTTCCAAGACATATTACGAGCAGCACATCCCTACAGTTGTCTGTTCTAAGAAATGCCAAGCAACTGACAGAGTTCAAAGGATTTGTGCAAGAGTCAAATATGTATCTCATGGTTGTTAGGAGCTTCAGCCACAGCCATCCTTTTTTTCTGGGCTGGTTCTCATTAGAGCCACTAGATGGCAATGCACAGAACACTTACTGTGTTCAGAGAGTGGTAATTGGGACTTACTTTTTTCCTGCAGTGATTCAAAGGTCACTTCCCCCTGGGCATTATCTTCCAGATCTCCATAGTGTAGCACTTTGTGGTTCAGAGCAAGGCGACAATACCAAAATCTTTCTGGAACTCAGAAAAAGTAGAGCAGGCTGAGCAGGATCATTCACCTAAGGTCTCACAACCACTGACCAATCCCTCTACCCCTCCAATTCCTCAGCATTACTTGCTGTTTATGAGGAGATGGCTGTATTCTCAGAAACACACATCTCTTCCAACCCAAACTACTGGTTGCTACAGACAGATCAGGTTGCCAGCTTCCCTTTCTGGCAACATGCTGCTGACAAGTTAATCCATTAGGTATTTTTTGCCTACAGCTCATGTGAAGAGATGCAGTACACACTGTCACCTCACCTTGTCTTCTGCGATTTCCAATTTTTCGAAAGCTGCTTCCTTCACAGAGCCTGTTCAGGCGCTGCTGCTTTATCAGCTCCAAGATCTCAGGCTGGATTTTCTCTCTCAGCTCCCTGGCAATCAAACATGGAAGAGTAAGCAGGAACTAGTGACAACAACAGGCACAGGCAATTGTTCTTGTTAGGCACTTACACAATAGGTGGTGACTGGAAGTCATCCTGGCTCATCCTCTCAGACTGGCGTAGTCGCAGAATCTCAGAATAGCTCAGGCTGCGCAGTTTACTCTTGAACTGGTCCAAAGAGTTGGGTTTGGAGGGGAGAGCCCGTGTGATCTGTTCCCTTACAACCTGCATAACCTGAAGTAGGCAGGTTGAGAAGTCACACTTTTGCTGTTTAATGGCAGAAAAGAACTAGGGCTCAGCTCAGTAGCATCAACAAACATAGCCGTGGCCAGGAGTGTCAGTGTACTAGTGGCTTTGAAGATCCAAAACAAAGAATGATCTCAGGTCATACCAAATAAAGATTGGACTACCCTCCTTTACAGTCCACATCAAAACCCTGACATACTCTCCACCCCCATCTCTTTATCCAAGTGTACTTGTCACGCAACCAAGGCTGAGTGAACACACTGTTCTGCAAACAATTCTACAAGAACTCCTCACTCTGACAGACCTTATTAAAATCTTCTGCTGTTGCCCTCATTTCTTTCCAGGTCTTGTTCAACAGCTGGATGCAAATGGCAAACAACTCCTCAAATGCACGGTCATGAGTGAAAAACATGGGGTGATAGTCATTTCGGCCTTCATTAGCTTCAGGAATAAACAGAAACCACAATCACATGAATATACAGAACAACAGCTAATAGAAGTAACTAAAATCCACCACAGTGACAGAAAGGCAGTGGTGTACAACAGTACTTACTCAAAGAGATAAAGACAGTTCAATGCTTTGTCTCCCCATAGGCAGTCTGTTGGGAATGGCAACTATCCCCAGACTTCATGCAAGCCTCTGTAATGGATGTACCCTTTTTGGACTAGTCTCCCCAGATGACTGCTTGCAGTTGTTTCCCATTTTCCTCTGACAGAATTTCTTACAGTTGCTAAATTGCCTTAGAATGTTTTCGTTTTTCTTTTTTGAGACTGTCACAGCTACTTGACTTTTAAGTTTACGATGGTTTCTAGAATGGTCTTCATACAGCATCTTAATGAAGCTTCAGGAAGCAGGAGTCTTCCACTTGCTTCAGTTTTTAACAAGAACCAGAACACGTACAACAAATTTTCTTATTTAAATTCAATACTAGGGGAAACTGACAATGCAATTCCAAGCTACCCCTATTCTTACAAGGCAGAAAAGAAACCAAAATACAAATGCTTGAGAATCTTCATCAATCTGTATGTTAGCCCAGGAAATATCAGCCCAGCCACTCAGAAGACTGCAGGTTAATGTTACTTACGGAGTTCCCCAACTTGTAGGATTTCACAGAGCATCCTGGTAAGCTCAATGGCACTGCGTCCAAAGGGACACTCATGCTTATCTTCTCGACTGCTGTTCTCCAGAACAATCTAAAGGAAGAGGGCAGAAGAAATAGCCAGAAGTGTTGCTGAGATGCTGCTACTTGCAAAGAACAGCAGCTTCACTTACCCTGATATAGGTGTCCTGATGAAACTTGGCTAAGTACAGCATGTTATCCAATGCTAGCATCCCTGGAGGAGTCTGAGTAAAATCCATAGCTGGATTGATGTGATTCTGCAAAGCGTGCAGAAGTAAACCAAAGAAATTAGCCCAAAGAAATGTTGCGAGACTCTTTCCCAAATTCATTTTACAATAGCCTGCCCATCAAGTACTCCCTCACGTCTAGCTAACAGGTAACCTAGGACACCTGCTATCTAAACTTTCTAGAAGAGAGGCCAATTCTGAGTTCAAGAATGACTAAATATCTTCAGAGGATGTGCCCAGTGAGCCCTTGCACTTATCCAAACAGTAAGTTCATAATAACCTGTTCTGGAAATCTGAGTTTAGCTAAGTTTCTACAAGTCAGATATAGAAAGATGGTGAAGCAAACAGCTGTTTCTGTTCCTCCCCCCCACTCCATCCCACTCTCTAGGTGCATACAGTGAATCCCAGCATCTTGTAGTCCTTGGTATACATGGCTTTGCGTTTTTCTGTTCCACTGCCAGGGATGGTGTTGCTGTCAGACTCTGCATCAAATGCAATTCTTCTCAACTCAAATATGATGTCTCTCTGTGCCTGAGGGACGGAAGGGAAGGAAAATGTAACATGCAAGCAAGCAGCAGGGCAGTGTTTTCGCATAACACACAAACCCACCTCTCTCCAGAGTTCAGACAGTGAACACAAGGAGGTGCCAAAGGTCATTGACATTACATAAAATGAGGCAACCCAGCTCAAAATGGCAACTTTCAGTATAATGGATATTACAATGTTTTCATTTGTGTTATCCTTTAACTGCCCTAGGTTTACTTACAAGCGATCTTTAAGGATTCAGATAATGCTAAGGTACTTCTTGTTTAAGACTGCAATGTATTTAATGATTAAGTGACAGAATTCTTAATAACTGTCCAGCTTCCATGCACATTGGAAAGGAAAGTATTAAAAAGGACGTGTTCTCCATTGAGGCAGAGGAATCAGTCTGACAGCTAGCATCGTACTGGTCAGGAAAATACATATCTTCCAGCAACCAATTGTATCTGTAAAAGCCCCACAGCACACTGCAGGTCAGTCATGACCATACGAGAAGCTCAAAGACCACAGTGTGAGCAGCAGTTTCACTTTATGTACAGCCTACTGCAAATTCAGTAGGGTAAAGCATCTCAG